ATAATTTTTTATGTGTGATATCAATTAACAATAGAGTTTATATATAGAAAGAAAACTCCTAGTGGCTCACAAGTAACTATCCAACTTTTTATAAAAAAATGTTCACGGCTAGGACATACTCCTGATAGTTTTCACAATATGACCATTTGTTTGCACCTAACCCTTCCCATTGACTTTCATTGAAACTCCACTCTAGACACCTGACATTTTAAGGGACGTTTTTAAACTGCGACTATGCCTTCATTTTTAATATTGCAGAGACATACTATATATATCAAAATTTAGGTCTGTTTCTTGTGATTGTCACCTTTTCACGGTAGCATTTATACTTTTAAAACTACAAGCGTTTGAAGATGGCAATCGCCAGTGAACTTGGCAAGTTTAAAAAGCCTGTTTAGAACAGACATGTTGACATTCCTCTCAGATTGAGTTGTCATAGCAACCCAGCTGTCTCAGCACAGTGAGCCTACTCCGCCCTCTCCAGGTGCAGCAACCAAAGGTCACTCAAGAGGCAGATGACTCACCAGGCTGGACTGTGAGCTTCAAAATACAAGCTGAAATGCATTTCTCACTATCAGGCTTGCAATGTGCCCTGCTTACATTTCATCAATCATTTGGTAAAGGTTGCGGCAAGGACACTTTACACAATTTCCCCAGAAATTGTAGATTTTCTAGTTATTATTATTATTATTATTATACAGGATTTATGGCGCCAACAGTTTGCTCAGCGCTTTACAATATAACGGGAGAGAATACAGCAACAATACAGTTCAATACAAGAGGGTTAGGAAGGCCCTGATCCTTGGAGCTTACAATCTAAGAGATATGCAATCTAAACATACACTCATTGTATTTGTACCTTGGAAAACTTAAAGAGTTTCTAAAGGCATTTTTAAAATTATAATAATAAACATGTTACACTCATTTGCTCTGTGCAATGGTATTGCACAGAGCAGCCCTGAACCTCCTTTTTTGGGTCCCTCTTTTGGCAATCTTGTCTCCTCCTTTTCTGTGTCTGCCTCCATAGCAAGTTGCTTGCTATGGGGTCACACATGCAGGCTCACTCCCAGGCTGGAGATGCAGCTCGTTTTGCCTTCCCCCCCTTTGCTCACAGAATTAGATTGACAGCAGCAGGAGCCAATGGCTCCCCCTGCTGCCTGATCATCCTGTGAGAGCTGCAGACCAGCACAGAGCTGAATTTATAGAAGACTTAGGTAAGTGTTGGGGGAGGCACAGCAAGTGGCAAAGCATTTTTTTTACCTTAATGTAGCAAATGCATTAAGGTAAATGATGTTTTAGCTTTAGAACCACTTTAATAAATTTCAGTAAAGGAAGATGTTTCCTTTAACACAGAAGCTCTTCACATTTTATATTGTACTCTATATAGCACTGAATACATCACTCATAATCATTTGTCAACTCACAAAGTGACATCACTCTCAATAAAGCTTCTTCAAGCTAGAAGAAAGGTGGGCGGACAGGAGGCCTACTGATTACAGCTGACAGAATTCTGCCTCCTGGTGACAGCTTGCAGATAAAGGGACAGCAATCTGTCAGTTGGATGCCTGATTTCCTAGTGAAGAACTGACTACCAATACAATAAAAAGGTTTTTTTTTCCCGAGCATCTGCGCCTTTTATGTCTGATTTCTCCCCAACAACAAATTCAGTTCAGTACAAACTAATGGAGCACGCTAAAAAAAAAAAAATTGTGAGCAGGAAGTCCAATACTAGTCCACTCAGGTCTGGAAGGGATTTTAACCCCTCGCCTACCGGGCACTTATACCCCCTTCCTTACCAGGCCAAATTTTCAGCTTTCAGCGCTGTCGCACTTTGATTGACAATTGCGCGGTCATGCAACATTGTACCCATATGAAATTTTTATCATTTTTTTCTCACAAATAGAGCTTTCTTTTGGTGGTATTTAGTCGCTGCTGGGTGCTTTACTTTTTGCGCTATAAACAAAAAAATTAAAAAAAAAAAAAAAAAATAAAGTTTCTTTGTTTCTATTATAAAGATTTTTCAAACAGGTAATTTTTCTCCTTCACTGATGTGCGTTGATGAGGCAGCACTGATGGGTACTGATAGGCAGCACTAATGAGGTGTCACGGATAGGCGGCACTGATAGGCAGCACTAATGAGGTGTCACGGATAGGCGGCACTGATAGGTGGTACTGATAGGCGACACTGATGATGGGTACTGATAGCACTGATAGTTGGCACTGACTGGCATCACTGCTGGTCACTGACTGGCAGCATTGCTGGGCACTGACTGGCACAACCTCTGGGCACTGACTGGTGGCACTGACTGGCAGCACTGCTGGGCTGCACTGATGGGCACTGGTGGGTGGCACTGGTGGGCACAGGTGGGTGGCACTGGTGGGCACAGGTGGGTGGGCACAGGTGGGTGGCACTGCTGGGCACAGGTAGGTGGCATTTCTGGGCACAGGTGTGTGACACTGCTGGGCACAGGTAGGTGGCACTACTGGGCACAGGTGGGTGCACTGCTGGGCGCAGGTGGGTGGAGCTAGTTGGCGCACTGCTGGGCACAGGTAGGTGGAACTTGTGGGTGGCACTGCTGGGCACCGATCATCAGGGCACTGATCAGCAGTGCCCTGATGATCGGTGCCGATCCCCGCACTAACAACTGCAGGTTCTCAGCAGTACTTTCCTCACGATCTGACAGTGTGAGGAAAGTGCAGCCGAGAACCGGCAATTGCATTTCCCGGTGATCAGTGTGTCATTGGACACGGCTGATCACATGGTAAAAGGCCGCTGTGATTGGCCGTTTACCACATCACGTGATCAGCTGTGTCCGTAGGACACAACGATCATGGAGATCACCGGGGGGCACGCAGGAGAGCGCGTTCTGGGAGGACGTCGTATGACGCCCACCCAGAACTGGCCGGCCACAGTGTAGCCGTCATTCGGCTATCTGCAGTCGGCAAGTAGTTAAGGGACTCCACAAAAAAAAAAAATTGCCAGAAGTTCCCTTGGTAGTGTGGCTTGTGTGTCCATGTATGAGATCAAGCAAACTGCCTTCTGGAATGTCTATATTTCCATCTCAGGTGGCAGTTTGTTAGATCTCATGTATGCGAACATAGACCACAGGTAGTCTGCCAGAGGACTAGCAAAGACCTTTGGCAGGTGTGTTCATTTGAGGGGGCCTATGGCCTCAATCTCATTGCCATCTTTAAAAGACATCTGGTGCATGAACAGACATAATGTGATTCCCTGCAACGTCTATGGGGTCTACCTGTTACATGTTTAGCACCCTCCTAGGTAGCTAGTTGATTGTTTTTTAGAGGCTGAATAGCAGCCTGGCGAAATAGTCAGAGGCGGTCGAATTTGGGTCAGGGCTGAGAGGCTCTGCAGACTAGTTCTCTGAAAATCCCTCCTGATCTAGAGACTTGGAGGAGTCACTAGAATTCAGTGGGAGGGGGTGAGGAGTGGCTAGTCTGCACTCTTAAGGGATCCTGGCCAAACCCCAAGTGGGAGGATTGGCATGGGGTCAGGACAGCACTTAAGAGTGACCAAGCCTGCTTAGTAGCAAGAGAGTTTGGGTGAATGATGGAGTGAGCAGGATGGGGTGTTGAGGGGGTCCAGGGGAGAGGCCTACCTACAGGCAGAGGAGCTGGAAGGGAGGATCTCTCAGCCTCAGAGTCCCCTGATAGAGGACAACCTGGTAATCAGGGAAGGAGCCAGCCTAGCAAAAGGTCTGAAGGCAACCACCAACCCACATGCTTGCAGGAGAGACTGAGTGAGTAACCCCCACACCCCCTGGGCTGGATAAGGGAGGGGGGATTTGGGTGGGAAACCTGACTAACCTCCATCTGGGACTGCTTTCATTTATAGTGGCAGCTTCTGGGCCCTCTTGGCCAGGGATTCCTTCGGGCAGCTGGGTGAAGAGGTGATTTCATCTGGCATCTGAGGAGCTACACAGGGAGAAGCTGGCTAGCTCTCCAAGAAGAGAAGAGACAAAACCCTTTCTCACTACTTGTACATAGTTCAAGGAAGTTGTTCTCAGTTTTACAGTTCCTTGGGCTTCCCATGTACCCCTCATCCCCATCTAAGATATCATCCCCTAATATAATCCAAAAAACAAAGTTCAAGGACTGTTTACTGTCTCCTGTGTGCAAAGTCTGAAGGAAATGTGTGTTGCCTGGCTGTACAGAACTATAGGGGGACCCAAATCTCTAGCGACTCCTAAGCAGGTAGGGCTACATATGTCTCTGCAAGACCTTGGGGTTAGGTAGGGTAAAGATCCTCTTTAAGAATCTTGTCTGTCGCCTTCCCTGAAATAGAATTTGTTTTTTTCCTGACTTGTTCCACAATCTTCACTCTCTTGAAGAGCTGCAGCCATTGGAAGAATCTTTGCACCAGACACACTTTTGGGTGTGTTGGATAACTGTTACCCTACCGTTACAAGTTACAAGCATGACTCCCAAAGGCAGAGGCATAATGGGACTTGTAGTTTTGCAACAGCTGGAGGGCCGCCAGTTTGACACCCCTGCCCTAAAGGGTTTCTGGAAATGACTCAGGTCTCCTTTACCTGTACCAGGTACCAGTTCCAGAGCACACCAACAAACTTCAGGCTTAGTCTAGGGGTTTCTTTCGAAGAATTTTTGCAGTACTTGGACACAGGTTGGTAGAGGGATGAGGGTGCAGGATACTCCAAAACATAAGCAAGTATAGGAGGACAGATTTTTAAGCAAAATTCTGTACCTGGAGCTTCAGGCGAAAGGTACCCACCTCTCTAGTTGAGCTTCCACAGGCAGGTTTCCTCCATCAAGCTTCCTTAACCCCCCTGGCGGTATTCCCGAGTGTAGTTCGGGGTAAAGTTTCAGCACCACAAGCGGTAACCCCCCCGAGCTACACTCGGGAATACACTGCAGCGTTGCTCCGGGATCCCTCGGTCACTTACCTTGTCCTGCGCTCCCGCGATGTCCCTCCTGCAGTGTCCCCTGTAATGTACTCTGGCGGATGCCGGCATCTGTCATCTGGGTTCCGTCCCCTGCGAGCGCCGGGAAGTACGGGGGATGGAACGGCAGATTTGAAAATGACATATTGTGACATTCCCTCAATACACTAAAATCACATAGTATAACATTCCTGTATCAAACCATTTCACATACATTTTGTCCCGAGTGCTTTGTCCGGCGCCCTGCCTGCATTTTTACTGTTCTTTCTGCCTGGAAACTGAGAAATGTCCATGGAGTCCAAAAAGTGTCCCTTTAGGTCAGACGCGGTTTTAGAGCGGCTAGAGAACAGCGATAGTAAATCAGAACCACTTGCAGAATTGAGTGATAATGATTCGTGGGGGAAATTCCTCATCAGACACTGAAAACGATTCTGCGACTTTGCTCAGCGATGTGCGAACTTGGCGCTATATCTCACATTTCAGTGTTTTTGGTTTGATTATATTATTGAATTAAATGTATTATTATTATATTATTATTTTTTATGATTATTTATTATATTATAATTTATGATTACGTGTTTCAAATTTTATCATCCCCGGGATGTTTACTAGACTCTTGTTCGGACAGATTTCAGTGAGTTATTCCTAAAAATTACAGCCTACAATAAAAAAACTACATATTTCCATGCCAAAAAAATGGTACCGCTTTCAGCACCAAAAATCGGAAAGAATCATACCGCCAAGGAGGTTAAAGCGATTCTAAAGGCATTATTTTTTTTAAGAAAAAATAACCAACATGTCTATACTTACCTGCTGTGTGCAGGTGGTTTTGCACAGAGCAGCCTGGATCCTCCTCTTCTCAGGTCCCCCCCAGGCTCTCCTGGCCGCTCCCTCCTGTGGGGTGCCCCCACAGCAAGCAGCTTGCTATGGGGGCACCTGCTGCTCTGTGTGTCCATTCACACACAGATCCATGGCTCGGCCCCACTTCCCCTCTCTTCTCATTGGCTCACTGGCTGTGATTGACAGCAGTGGGAGCCAATGGCTCCAGAAGCAGGTGGGAACAATCAACCACCAGGCTCAGGGATAGACCTGACCAGACCTGAACAAATAAATTACTGCTCAACTGAGTACAACAGAGCCAAAAACTAAGTTTATCCAGTCTAGGGCAGGGAGCTACATAAGACGTGGATGATTATTGACCACCAGATAAGGACCTGAGGCAGAAACATGGTGACACTTGAGTAGAGGACAGGAGTGAAATCAGGACACATGCCAAGGGGTCTTCAACAGCCAGATAGCGAGGTACAAGACAGGATAAGAGTCGATATACGAGCCAAGGTCAGTTCACAGTCAGGCAGTGAGGTACCTAACCTGGAAGCAGGATAAGGATTCCAAACGCAGTCAAAAGAGATAGAACAGAATCCAAAGTCAGGTCAAAGGCAAGCCAAGTCATCCACAGGAAGGCAAACTTAGCAGGTAGGTTAGACCAGCCTTTCTCAACCAGGGTGCCCAGGCCCCCGGGGGTGCCTTGAGGTTTCTTCAGGGGTGCCTTGGCAAAATTTAAAAAAATTGCCCAAAACTTGTATACAAGCCAGTGGGCGGAACAAGTCTGCCTTTTAGTTACACAAAGTCACAGTTTTTCATTGTGCACCACTATGACCTTCTAGCTGCCAGCATCCTGACAACCAGTGACATCATCAGTTGATAAAGAAGATGTCAGCTGCCTGCACAAAATCCTAGTTTGACCCTCCCCTGCCCCCTCCATAAGTGCTGGGGTCACATTAGCTCAGAGAAGAGAATCATTGGAATACTACTCAGTACCAGTGTGCAAAAATGTATTTGCTTTGGAAGAATAAATCACCTCTAATGTTGGGTGTCCTACATGTGTGGATGTTGCTACATTATATAAAACTATTAGAATCACATTTTTCACAATTTAGAATGGGGTTCCCTTTTAAAATTATGGACAGTCTTGAGGCACCCCACTTTAGAATGGGGTGCCTCCACTGCCCATAATTTTAAAGGGTGTCTTGGCACTGTCCATAATTTTAAAGGGTGCCTTGACTGAAACAAAGTTGAAAAACACTGGCTTAGACCACTCAGTAATCTGTCCATGTCACAATCTAGCTTAAATAAACTGTTTGGCATAAATACCAGTGCCAAGCATGTAGGCCGGTGCAGTCTGCTTTCTCCAGGACTGGTACAGTGTTACTGTAGCTGGAGAGGAAGCCAAGAGAAACTTGGTTTCTCTATGGTTTCCTCAGTCCCCTAGAGAACCGTTCTAGTTGGCAACGCTGCATTCAGTTGACCCTGGTGGCCATCTTGGGTCAAGCAGAGCCTTTTTAAGTGCCTGCTCCCAGGTTTTGGTGCAAAGTGACTAGTGTAGGGAGAGGTATCCCATCTGTCAGGGACAGCACTAGTGATGGGGAGAGGTTCCAGAGGAGCAGGGAAAGCATAGGGCCTACGTCTACACAACCACAAGCTCCCACTTGGTTCGGGCTGTCTACGCCAGGTGCTGTCTTCACCTCGGCCTACTACCACTAGTCTCCACTGCACTGACAGTGAGTTCCTGGATGGGTGTTCCCCCCACTGGGTTTTTGCGTTTTGCAAGTTCTTCAATACATTCTTTTCTGCATCTGGGACTCAGTGTCATTACTGCCACCACACCACTGTGCACGTAGCCCACATGCCTGCATGTGCACTTACATTTCTTAGTGTGCTAACTGTGGCAGGCGCAGCACCCTTTGGTGCCTGGTGCGCTGTGGCATTAGAAAAATTATGCAATTGCTGTTTCTTTGTTTGATTAGACTGACTTTACTCTGTAATTCCTCCAATGCCGCTCTATGGATGCAGTAGGTTTAAAGAGCACACCGAATACTTTAGTTAACTTCTT